GGGGATACTCCTTCCCAGAGGCTGAGAAGTGGGGGATCCTACCATACGTCAGAATGCCCTTGGCTGAACTGGGGAGCTGGGGTGGGATGGACAGCTCTTGGGGGCTTCCCTTGGCTCTGTCTCTGAGAGGTTCTCCTGGGTGGAGGGGGAGCACTCCTCTGACTATCTCATCTCCATCCGCAGAGCAATCGAAGACAGAACTGGAGTCAGAGCTGGGCCTGAAGATCGTGCAAACAGGAGTGGGAGAGGTAGGAATGAGCATGCCTATCCCTCAGGGCTGGGGACAGGGCAGTGGGGCTGCTGGATATGAGCTAAGCAGCTTGCTGTACCCCAGCCCAGGGTGCAGGGGATTTTGTGAGTGAGCCGTGCCCGTGGGTCTGTGGGGCAGCTGAAAGGCAGAGGGCTCTGAGCAGTGTTTGGGCTGCTCTGTTGCAGACAGACTTGGGTTATCTGGGATGAGCCAGAGCATGATGCTGCCCACCCACCTATACTCCCTACTGCCTTGTTTGTCTCTTTCCAAAATAAAAGCTCCACACGGTTTGAAGACAGTTTAGGAGGATCTTCTGGAGGCTTTCCCCACTCCATCCAGGACAGGGGGGGCTGCAGGCTGCACCCCGTAGGACTCATCCTCATCCTCATCCTCACCTGCCTCCCGCCTGTGCATCCCATCTTAGCCGTGGCCTGGGCCCCGCAGCGCCAGGCTGTACCCAGAGAACACGAGAGAGCACAGCTCGGCAGGCAAAATGCCATCGTGCCCCAGGGAATGGGAAAGCAGCTGAAGGCAGGGATGGAGCAGGAGCCATCTGCTTGCAATGGGGCACCCCCACCCTGTGCTCCTCTGGGGGCCTCCAGGAGCAGTCTCCTGGGAGGGAACAGGGGCTGGAAATGGGGGACTGAGCCTTGGTCCTTTGTTTGCAGCCTGGAGAGGGGAAGTGGAGTAGCATGTCCCCAATCCGGGGTCCCTGTTTCCAACCCTTCTGCACAGTGGCTGTAGCCAGGAGCAGGGAGGAAGGAAGAGGGGACCGTAGAGGAGGAGGTGGCCATGGAGAAGGGGTGACCTGGCCTGTCTCCATCAGCAACATGTGGAGCGTCGCTATGGCAATGCCTTTTGATGTGGCAAGAGGCAGGAGCTGGGAGAGATGGCAGAGATGACTGAGCTAGAGCTCATAGGAAGCTGAGGCAGCTTTTCGAGCCCTCTTCTCTGTTCTTTTTCATCATCTCTTCCTGGGCTCTAAATAAGATTTGGGAAAGAAGAGATGTAGAGAGGCAGGGAGACAGCAGGCCCTGGGCAGGTCTTAAGAGGGAGGTCCCTTCTGTCTCCCCAGCCCTGCTGATGTCTCCAGACCTTCTGACACATCCAGGGGCTTTAGGACTATCTGAGTGCCCCGGGGAGCTGGGAAGTGCTGGCTCTGGTGGGTGTCCCGGCTGCAGGGTTGGTTGGGCCAAGGTAGCATCAGACTGGGCCCGGGCACTGGGGCTGGGGGACAGGTTGCAGCGGGGATCCCTGGGCCACGGGCATCCCCAGGCAATGATGATGATGATGATGTAGGTGGTGATGACTCAGTGTTCCCTCAGTAAACTCGTCAGGCTCGTAGCCTATGGGAGGCCATGGCAGTGAGGTAATGCTGGGCTAGGATACCTCATTGGGCACAGGGTATTTGGTGATGATGATGCCTAAGCACCCCTGTGCTGCCCCAGGACCCCAGGGGGAGGCAACATCCTGATCACCAGCGGCTCTGGGACAAGGCCCTGGGGAGGGTCTTGGCTTTGGGAGGTGGTCTCATCCAGCAAGTGCTCACAAGCATCCCATCCCAGCATGGGACTGGCGTGTATTGGCCTTCCCGCCACTGGGAAGGAGCCCTGGAGGCA